ACCACAATTGTCCAAGAGAAGGGTATAATGCAGATAATATTAGATATACAAAAAACATACAAATATACACAAAAATTTATGATGGTATCCAAAGGACAGGAATATTTAAAACGCAGGAATTAATGTCCACGTTTTTCCTCACCTTTGTTCTTGAGACTGCTCCTCCATATCTTCTTCAGAATCACCCTATTGAAAAAGAAAATGATTAAACAGTTGCTTCAAAGGAACACAGACTGTTCAAAAGAAATACTTCTTCAAATCTGAGCCAAGGGTAATGAACAGTGCCTGGCACAGAGCAGGCATTCAATAAAGTACCAACTGAAAAAAATTGTCATGTGATTCCTTTGGTAGTTACTATAAGTAAATATTCTACCTGTTTCTAAGTACAAGCTAAACATAATCTCAAAATTAGTTTTAACATCACTTCTCTTCTCTTCAAGAGCCCTCAGTTCAATAATAATTACAATTTCCACACACAGAAATTATGCTCTGCTAAGCTCATAATCCCATAAATGAATGCCTGTTATGTTTTGACATCACACAAAAAAAGTGGATAATTTTATAAATGGCATAAATATCACACTAAAACAATGCAAAATCTTCTCCCAGACTTACCATGCTGAAGCGTGATCACATGTAATTAGAATGTAAGGACTGAAAGTTACGGTGCTTCAAACAGAAATCTAAGAGCGTATTGATCAATACATTTGTGATATGCCTGGCAGACACTCTCTCCAGTCAAATGACACAGTATTCTTTTGTGAAGCTCATCACCATTGGCTTCAGGGAAACGAAATCTTCCTGTTTCTCCAGCTTCTCTCTAACTTAGTAGCAATACTGACTGGCTGCCCTTCCCCTCCCACCTGTGGCTGTCACAGTTCTCCTGCACCTAGCCCTCAGCTCTCTTCGGCCTCCTCTACACTAATTACTTCAGAAAGCGAATCTGGATTTATAACCATGAAGCTCAAAGCCCTAGTCTCTAGCTCCAACTTCTCACTCACACTTGTGCGTAACTCACCGAAAACACTGACGCCCATAGAACACAGAGTAACTGCTCCACAGGGGTTTTCAAGACAATAAGCTTTCTGAAACAGCCTCATGTTCCTCTCACACATATGTGCTTGCTTGATATTATACCTACATTTCCAGAAAAGCCAAGATTCATGCATGTGATTTTGTTCAGCACAGCACCTAGCCCAGTGCCCAACACATGGTAGGTGTTCCACAATATTTATAGAATGAATTACTTTACCTAAAAAAATTCTGAGTATTTTAGGCCTATTTCCAAATGCCTTCAGAATATATGAATGGCACCTCACCTTCAGCTCCCCAGAAACAAAGATGACCAGCAACCTCAGAGGTCCCTGCAACTGGCTTCTGTTTCAACATGTCAAGGACACACGCCCCTTGGCCCCTGGGCAAAAATTAGGGTCACCTGTACTGTTCTCCTCCCTTCACCTCCAACCATGAAGACATACCCACTCATCTGAAATACAGTTCAGGCCTGTCCTTACTTCTCCATTCCTCTGGCAGCAAATTAGCCCACACCATTAGTATCATAAGCCTCGCTTACCAGAAGAGACATTCAGAGATTTTCCTCTAGTTTAAGGCTTATTTAGACTTTCCTACATTCACCCACCCAAAGCATCACTGTGAGAGACCAAGCTTCCTCAGCATTAATCGTTATTTACCTGAAAAGCAGAGTCCTAGTGCGGCGCTGTGGGCTAATGCATCAGACTGCAAAGACGTTTGAATTGTAAAGGTCGGTGGTTCAAGCTCACTAGCTGTTCCATGAAAATTCCATGAGTCAGAATCGACTCAACGGCACTTAACAACAACCTTCAACCACCCAAAGCATCATTGTGAGGGATCAGTCTTCCTCAGAATTAATCATTATTTACTCAAAAGTGGTATAGACCCAGCACTTATAATCATGTTAATCCCCACTCCAGAATGTACAATGGCTCTCTAACTGCCAGTCAGATACACTCCAAACTCCTTAAGCGAGGTCCACACAGTCCAACATCAGCCTCAGCATATTCATTCCCAACCTCGATAGCCACACTCAGCAGCAAGTGCTCTCATCTCCAATGTAAATGTCAACACAAAAACATCCAACTGTCTGCCATGGGAGGCTCTAGGCTAGGCCCCAGTCCCATGTTTGCTAATTAAACATCTAAACTGTCCCACCCTCCCCCTAAAGTCTTAACTGGCCTCTCCAATACACATGGTTCCTTATCTTTCAATTCCTACATTTCAACACTTGATTGTTATCTCCTGGTATTACCAACCTTATCTCACCAATAACACTGGGTTTTCAAAGGGCAGAGACTAAATCCTGTCAAGCCTCTACCTCCACCCAGCCTCTTGGCATGGCCTCAGGGCACTTACACTGGGTGTTTTAACTCTGGTATTTCTAGGATTGTCTCAGGTATCACCTGCTCAGAGTCCTACTTTGACCAAGGGACTTAACAGTACAATGCCCACCACTACCACCATTCCCCAGCACTTCTCTTTCACTTGCCCACCATAGCATCTATCACTTTCTAACAGATTGTGCCTTCAAGTTCATTTCAAGAAGCAGCATGTGGGTTTGAACCACCTACATTACGGTTTCCGGTCCAGTGGTGATCCTCAGTGCCACCCCAGGACTACTCCTATTATCTACTGTTTAATGTTAAGTGAGTTGGTTCTGACTCATATGACCCTGTATAGGGTTTCTGAGGAGCTGTTGGTGAGTTTGAACTGCTGACATTGTGGTTGGCAGTCTAATGTTTATCCTACAGCTTATCCACAGTCAATATCCATACGTCTCCATTACTGCAAGCTTCACAAGGGCAGGGATTTTTCGGGGGGTTTCATCATGAAATCTCAACAAATAGTACTTGTCCTATAGCAGATACTCAAGATATACCTACAGGGCTAAATATGGTCTAGCTGTTTCTTAAAATGCCAGGGGGCTTCAAAAAGTTCGTGGGAAAATGGAATAAAAGGGCAGTGGCATTTTCCACAAACTTTTGGATGCCCCTTTGGACAAGAGACTATGACTACATTTGATAACCACTAAGCAACTTTTTCCAAATCAAAACAGAACATAAAATAATTTTCCCCCATGTGAAAACTTTATCACCACCTAACTTCTCTCCCGGTCAGACTGAGCTAAAACTCACACAGTAACATAGTCATTAAAAGCATGGGCACTGCCCAGGAGCAGAGGCCCCTGGGACCATCAAGGGAGAAGAGTGGAGTGTGGGTCCCTATCCAGAGAAGCAGTGATGCCAGAGATGGAGGCAGAGACGATGATGTGGAGAGATGGAGCAGCTGGGGACTCTAGACTATAGAGGGAGAGGGGCTGTATGCTGGCAGCTGGGGGGCAGGCTTGCAGGGTATGCCCTCTGGTTGTCTGAATGATGATATATATTCCTGAGTGCTTTGGTGTACATTCGAAAAGAAAGAAAGAAAAAAAAAAAAAAAACAGAGGAAATAGAAGCAAATGCTATTGAATGATGATGCATGGAGGGGATTGTATAGCCACTGCAATGAAATGAAATATGATAGGATGAGTGTAAAGCTGATATTCTCCCATGTAAACTATCATTTAAGTCACAATAAAATAAAATAAAATAAAAACATGGGCACTGCATCAAGGCAAACAATCAAGTTTGTCCTTCAGGACAAACCTCCATCCAAGACTGAAACTCAAAGGGAACACACAAGCAGGCATGGAAGCTCGCTAGTGATAGCATTGGTCTACATGTGAGAGAAGTGGGGGAAAGGCAGTAATGAAGACATGGGCTGAGTTTGACCATGTTCCATAGGTTCCTGCCGACCTCGAGATGAGAGAGAGAAGGAAGATCTGCTTGGTTGAAGTTTGGGGAGACTTGGGAACTACTGAGCCCATGGACACTGACCTAGCCATGGAGGGTTAGAGCCGAGAATAAAGTATCCAACTGATATGAGGTGGGGGGAGGTGCACAAGAACACCCAAACTTGCAGATAGTACCCATTTGACCTAGCTTCAATGGCTTGATGATCAGAGCTCAACTAGAGGAAGATAAAGAAATCTGACAAAGAAGAAAGTAAAAATTGCTACAATTTGATGAATTTGACCTATACTTATGAATGTAGTAGCTCAAAATACCAACCAAGAGGGAAGGCGTCTTCACATCAAGGATCAAGCCTACCCCCTCAGTTGACAGGGATGGGGCAACTTTTGACATTGGCTGCCTTAAAGGGGGGGGGGGGGAAGGGGGACTATAAAGGCACGAAATGGCTGGCTTACAAGTTTTCAAGAGGGAGTTTAGTTTCAGAGTGTATATGTGGGGAGGTAGAATCCCCACTAAATACTTTTCATCTTGTCTAGATGGGTCTGGTGAAAGGAGACAGCAATAAGAGTCTTTTGATTCAATTGTGAGTAACTGTTATCATGACTAACTGCAGCTGTCACAACTGTTAAGGCAGAAGTTTTGTAACTTAAGGGGTGGTGGTGGTGGTTGGTTATGTGCCGTGGAGTCGGTTCTGACTCATAGCGACCCTGTACAGGGTTTCCGAGGCTATAAATCTTTATGGGAGCAGAAAGCCTCATCTTTCTCCTACGGAACAGCTGGTAGTTTCCAACTGCTGACCTTGCAGTTCGCAGCCCAATTCGTAACAAGAAGTAGTTAATCTTAGTTAACTTACATCCCAGGAACAGAGGACCCTAAGACCATCAAGAGAGAAGAGCATGAGAGGAACGTGAGACCCGAACCAGAGAAGCAGTGATACCAGAGATGGAGGCAGAGGTAATGACATGGAGAGATAGAGCAGCTGAGGACTCTAGACTCATGGAAAGAGAAGGGCTGTGTGCTGGCAGCCAGGAGGCAGGCTTGTAGATTGTGCCCTTTAGTTGTTTAAATGATTAAATATTTCTGAGTATTTTTGTGTACATAAAAAACAAAACAAAACAGAGGCAACAAAAGCAAATACTGTTAAATGATGATGCATAGAGGAAACTGTAATCATTGCAATGAAATACAGTAAGATGAGTGAAAAACTGATGTTCTCCCATGTAAACTATCACTCAACTCACAATAAAAGCTTTAAAAAAAAAAATAATGAGGGGGGGGAAGAGGCTCTAGAGTTTGATACTTCCTAGGTTCAAATTCTACCACCACCATTTCCTTACTAACCTGTGCAAGTTAAACTTT